CTGCTTAACCCCTTAACTTATGATTTTCTCAGCGAGTGCGTCAGACAGGGCTTAATTATTGTTATTAAGGACAAAGAATATTGAAGTGTTAGGGATATTTTCTATATGAGGATCATTGGTGGAGGAATTGAAATTAAACTCTAAATTGAATCCTAGTGAATATGTGCCCCATTTCAACAATTACGTGCGTCACGTTCGGTGACGCCACAGTGAGTCAAGGTGTTAAATAATTTCGTTAAGAAAGCTTAGAGTATTCGGTGCACAATGCTCCCTTATGCTGCTCGAACGGCGTCACTAATTTCGACGGGAAATTAAAGTTTGGTTACTTTTATGGCACGTTTACTCGTTCAGGGTTAGCCTTGAGCGTTCACCGTGGCGTTTTAAGCGGACAAAAAGTGCCAAAAGGTCACACGCGTCACTTTCGTTTCTTTAGCAGCAGAACTATACCTGTTTTTCACGCGACTAACGGCACCGTAAGAATTCATAAAACCGCACGAACTAATGTAAGCACTCGCTTAGTCTGCGCACTTAACCCACTGACACGGAATCCGCGTAGTTTTTTAAACCGTTTTAGGAGGTCGAAATCGTGAAAATCGTACACTGGATCACGCTTGTTCTCGTCGTTCTGCGTGAACGAGTACCCACCCAGTGGATCCTGTACAGAGAGAGAGATCGAACAGATTTTCTCGATAGCTGTAATTCTAGTTCCGATCGTATCGTACTTTACTGGACCATTTTTATCGCCATAAGTAACGCGCTAATGCCTCGGATCTCGGTAATTACCTTACTCGGTAACAAATTGTTCGATTAACATTTTCTCGCCTTGAATCCGCAATTCTCTGTCTAGTAATTCAAGAGAAATTAATCGAGCGACTCTGTGGCCACGCGAAATGCTACGTTCTCTTCCGCCTCGACAGAATAGCCTGACTCGTGATCGATGTAACGACGCTCATTGTCCCGTAATGAGGCTGGGAGGGACAGGATGTTAGTGTATACGTGTTGCGAACCAAAACAGATGTGGACTGTGCACTGCAGTGTTCTACCGAGTCTATTGCTTGGACGATAGTTGGAATTATCGAATATTCGACTGGACATGTTCATTTTTTTAGAATAATCACATTCTTTGATATTTGTGGATTATCATATTTACCCTTCGGTCACTGGATTTGCGAATTTCATATTTTCTCAAGCCCTCAAATTCCCATATTCCCAAATTCCTACGTCCCCGAATTCCCACATCCCCGAATTCCCACATTTCCAAATTCCCATATCCCCGAATTCCCACATTTCCAAATTCCCACGTCCCCGAATTCCCACATTTCCAAATTTCCACGTCCCCGAATTCCCACATTTCCAAATTCCCATGTCCCCGAATTCCCACATCCCCGAATTCCCATATTCTCGAATTCCCACATCCCCGAATTTCCACATCCCCGAATTTCCACATCCTCGAATTCCCATATCCCCGAATTCCCACATTTCCAAATTCCCACGT